GTATACCTGTTCAACTGATTCCGTCGAGTTATTTTGCAGTTACTCCCATTATTCGTAATGTACTTAATATTCCACAGGTGACTTGAGTGGAATCTGGTACAACCAGTTTGGTTCAAAGATGCAAATCATCCTTCTGGAAAACGGAGAGTTGATAGGATTTTACGTCAACTGTACACCTGGTTCTAAAGCTGCCAGAGAAAAATTGACTGGTTTTGTGGGAAAAGACGAACACGCTTCTCGATTTGGCTTTACCGTCGACTTTCAGGTAAGTAAGGAAAAATTACATTGTTTTGCAGGAGTTTTACTGGTCATGGTTAAACTTTGTAACCTCCTGGTTATCGTGCTGGACTCTTGTTTGAGAATTTTTTGTTCTGTGTCAGTGACTAAGATACTTGACCCTCACAGTGCCTCTGCCATCCTAGGAGAATACAGTGGTACTAAAGAACTGTCTAAGAAGATTAAGTAAATGTTTGAGTGGGAAAGGGAGGAGACCAGCGATGAACTTACACTCTTTTAGGAAGAGTAGAAATATTCCTGGTCGGTATGAAACCGGGATAAACTCCCACAAAATGGACACTGAGCTTGTGTGCAGATTAGAACCTTTTTGCCTTTTTAATAGCGGAGCTCGCAGAGCTTAGCCCCATAATTATACAAAATAGTAGTAGTAACCCATCAAGCCGAAAAAATTTGTATGTACGACCGTACGACCGTACAAGGTGCTACTTTTGACATACGTGGTCAACTCTACCGCGGGCACGCCAACGCCACGGCTTTGTCCAGTAGTCCAGTGGTCAGTGCACTGGGCTCCGAGTCGGACGACCCGGGTTCTAGTCCTGGCCGGGGCAAGGCGTTGTGCTCTTGAGACGTGCGGGAAAAAAAATGCGAGCTCCGCTTTTAGGCTTGGCTAAATCTATATATTACTTGGTCCGAACAGCATTGGGGAGCGGAAGTAAATTTCTGAACACTGCATTTCTCCCCACCAACAATCTGCTAGAGAAACCTGGCAGATAAAATTTAAACATGAGATGCAATGTTACTACTGTATAAACCTGGCTGACCTAGCGAACACATGTAATGTTATTTTCCCGCCCATGATCGAAGGAATAACGAGAATTTGACGTTAATATCTCATTAGTTTGACTAAGCGAGAGGTTAACACGTCATGTTCATGACCAGTGAAGTAAGAATTGACTACATTTTTAAAAAAATTTTGCTGTGTAGAATGGGCGGTATACCACAACCTGGACCGGACGTTGCATCAAAGAAGGAAGCGCCGATGGTGAAGAAGTTCTGTTGACTAACTGGATTATGAACCCTAACCCGGAAGATGGTGCGCAACACCTGGAATCCATTCATGTCGGCCAGGATCGCTTTACAAGGAAGCCTCAGACCCCTGAGAAGTTGCCGTCTTTTGACGATTCGCAACCGGAGTCTAAGGGCTGGATGCTATCCTACTAAGCGTACCCTATTTTAGTAGTGCTTCTCACTGGATTGTGCACTCGGGTCCTCTCGCTTAACGCAGCTCAACTCCTTACAGAGCTCCTGTCTCACAGGGCTCCTGTCTCACAGAGCTCCTGTCTCACAGGGCTCCTGTCTCACAGAGCTCCTGTCTCACAGGGCTCCTGTTTCACAGAGCTCCTGTCTCACAGGGCTCCTGTCTCACAGAGCTCCTGTCTCACAGGGCTCTTATCTCACAGGGCTCAAACTGGCTAAAATAATACAACAGAACAGTTTCTTTGGACACGACACCCTCAGTGTTCACCACTCTTTTCGATTTGTTGTAGTTAATGTGGCATGGTTCTTAATCACCAACTCCTCGTTCATCATTTAAATTCTAGTTCTTGAAACAGTTTGGAGCAATTCAGTGAGTGAAGTACAAAGTCAGGCATGGGTAGCTTCAAAAGCAACGGCCAATCCCGAAAACTGGGAAATTACTCAGACATTTTAACTGAAAACGCCTGTGTTATTTGCTCAGAAATATACATTGTACCTAGTTTTTAAACTATTCTTAACGGCATGTATTCCAAAAAAAGCATTTCGAACCCCCTTTGTGAGAAACTAGCCATGGCTCTGGTATCCAGCCTTGATTAATTCAAGTAAATCATCAGGAAAGTGGATATGTATTGAAGGGTTCTGAGCCTGTGCTATGTTATATGCCTTAAGGTTTTATTTTACACGCTTAGAAATATTACCTAAGTGAATGCGACGTAGGTAGGTTTGAAGCCGTATGCCCGACGGCATATTCTTTCGGGCACCAAGTCCTCCATTTGTGCAAAACTAACAGTAAGCTAGTTCCGACCAAAATATCCAGCCTTAACTCATTCAAGCAAACATGTGACCGTGTAATGTTTCGGGCCAAAAATTTTTGTTGTACAGTAGATAGTTTTTTTAAATTTATTTTGATAAGATTTTTACCGGTATATTAGTTTTTGATTTGACATATTTTTGCAATTTAAAATTTTTTTCCATCTCGTAGTGAAATTATGAGTTTCTTCAATTAGTTTCATTAAATTAATTATATTGACGTGCACTTAAATAAAGTTGTTGTTATACAGTCTCCTGTAATGGTCGATATCAATAACAGCCGCTCATGAAGGGTAAAATTTTACACTGACACGGGGTCCTCTTGGACCACTGTTTTTCCGGGGGGGGGGGGGGAATCAAATTGATTATTTTGCATGGGAAAAAGATCCTTTGGGATAAAATTGGAGAAACCGCTGTTAAATGGATTTCAGTCGCTAAAATAGGTGAACAATGAGCAAGAACATGGGTGAAATCGTCATTTAGCTGTAATTCTAAACTGTCGTTCAAATTTCTCCTTGAAATATGCCAAAACATTCCACAGGACCTTAGATGTTTCAAAAAATCCTTGTATTTTCAATCCATTTATACCCTGGAAATCTCTCCAAAGTGACGGTCTTGGCCAATGCATGTTCTGGCTCCCTTCTCTCACCTCGTGTTGCCGCGTTATTTCGCCTGTTGTTTGCTCGCAGAGCGTGACGCATTTGCTTTGTTAGTCGAAAAGTACTGGGAATTAATTTCAAGAAAATCCGACATGGCGTCGTAAATAATGAAAAGAACCACCGATTATGATACCATAATAGTTGAAAAAAAACGGTATTCTAAGCATCACATGCCTTTCAGTACATGTAAGCACTTTTCTGATGACGTTTACATCGAGGAAATGGCGTTACAGCGGCTGGAAGACTATTAAATGGAGACCACGTGTGACATTCAAATCAAGTGTCAAAGGTCAAATAACACTGCTTGAAGTGTATTTTTTTCTCTTAATTCCTGCTTCCTAATATTTTTTAGTTGCAAAGTAAGCTAGTATTCTTACCATAGTTTCTGTATCATAATTAAAGTAACTGGGAATATGTTTTGTATTACTTCCACTGGATGGGATGCTTGTCCACTGCAGGCCATTCACCCTACCCCCTAGATAATTCATCAGTTACTTGTGATTATGTCGACTCCTGGATGTAGAGAGTAAGAGCACAAACCATAACGCAATAACCTGGCCAGGTATTAAACCTGGAAACCTTAACCCAGAGTCTAGCATTCTGAAATTAAGTGTGCTCATCTAACCCACATCATTTGAGGCCACTCTAAAATTTCGAATTTTGAATTTATTTTTTTTTTCAACATCTGATTCAAGGTAGTGGACCTGATTCTTATATTTAGAATAAGAATTTTTTCTTTTTTGAACAAGGCCACAGAATTAAGAAAAAAGATATTTTGCCAATGTACCTCATTAATTAGTTATTTCTTTAAATTAAAAAAAAAACTTTAATTTTTTAATCAAGAAATTTAACACAAGGAAGTAGGCCCTTGCCATCAAAATTGACTGAAATTTTGAAAAGTGGGTTTCCTGACCCTTAAAATTCCAGGGAGGGAAATGGCGGGGAATTTCTTTTTAGGCACAGTTGGATAAAAAGCCTGCATACAGTTATTTCTGCAAATAAATGCTAGATAGCTTGTACAGTGCTTGAAATTTTACATGGTACTTTGTCCAAATGACTCTCAAAACTAGATTGAGTAGGAGGTATTCAGCAAGCTCTGCATTGTGGAAGGTTATGAAACTTGGTAATTGCTTTCCTATTTTCATAAACACAGTTTCATAAAATGCATTGAATGCTGTGTTTCAATGTGATTGTTCCATTATCTGGGAGTGTGTCTGGGGCAAAAGAGCCAAAACCAAGGTGTTTATACTAGTGGTATTTTTTGTGCCCTTCCCTTTTGCAGTCACCTGACATGCTTATTCCTGTCCATCTTACAAATTCAGAAAAAGTGAGCCCTGTTCTGTAGGCAAGGCTAATGGAGGAATAATTTCTAGTAGAGTTATTGTATCAGAAAATGACACTAACAGTAAGCATGTTTTGCAGCTGAATGCAGATGATGTTAATTTGTTTTACTTGTAGATATATTTCTCCACCACTGTCAAAAAAATTGCTGGTGCAAACAAGAATTAGAGAGCCTGGTAAGAGATTATTTTTTGAGTAAATGTGATGGAATTGAAGCCTCAAATTCCAAGTAAATAGTTGGCTTGTTTCTTTTAGAGTTTCTTTTAGTGTGTTTAATATCATGCCCATGTGTAGCGTGCAGTGGGTGATCAGGAGTAATTGCTAAGTAACTATGCAAATTCAACATTGTCAAAAAAAAAACAAATAAAATTTTGGGAGAAACATCTAAGAAAGAGGGTAATCTGGTATTATCAACTAAGTTGATAATGTAAATTGGCCACTGCAAAGAGTTTAAAAGGTAAACTCTTTATGGTGGCCAATTTATGATAATATCAAATAACCCTGTCACTCTCTACCACCAATGCAGCACCACAGTTTCTTTAGAAACTTACCCCCTCTATTCATTCATCTAAGAAAGAGTTATCTTTTTCATAATAATTACAAATTAAAGTTAACACCTCCAAACATTAATGTTAATCTTATCAATTATTGTGGTTCTAAGTTCTTGCTGTTGTGCTCCAGTCATATATTTAATGAGTTTTTTTGGTCATCTTGACTCAAATTTTAGATATTCCTCTTCTTCTCCTTGCTCTTTGTTAATATCTCTGTTTGATATGATAAAACCTTTACAATAGGTTAAAAATGTATGAACACTGCTATAGGTGTTAGGGAATCCATTGCTCATCCAGCAGGGTAGGGGTTAATCACAATTCAATAAAAGTTAGATTAATTGATTGAAGGGTAAGGTGAAATTTGCATTTTCTTTCACCCAAGTCATAGGAGGAAGTCTATTTGGAGAGTAGCTTTGAGGGTTGGTGTTTGATTCTCTCTAATTTTGAGGGTTCATGCCTAATTAATGGTTGATGTTTATCAGGAAGATATTTCCTTTGTTGTATGAGTTTAAATCAAATCAAGTTGTTTTGTTTTTATTTATCAATTATCATTTATATTCAGAACTTCTCAGTCTTTCTCTGATTTAGTTAAGTGAAACACAATTCTAGGACCCTTGTAATATGTATGAAATAAGAGCCACCTGGGATTTACTGAACCTGAACATGAGTACTTGCCTCACACCCTCTTGCTTAATAAACTGAGTGGAGTGCAATTTGGTTTGAAATCATATGGGTCACTTAAAAATCAAACAAGCATGCAAAGCAAGTTTTATTTGAAATCTCAAAGGAGTCTTGAAGTTGAATTACGAAGTTGAACTACCACTTTATTACATCCATTTTGAAATCACCACCAGAAAACAAAGAGAAGAGTGTGAAAACTGTTTTGGAAACCGGACTGTCTCGATGTGCTGTACGGATCTTAAACTGTGTACAAGAGAAGGGTGACTAATAGCTGGCCTGAAATGGAGTCTCTTCTTCAGTCTTGCTCTAGGATGCTAAAACGTGGTCCACCGAAAAACAAAGAGAAGAGTGTGAACACTGTTTTGGAAACTGGACTGTCTTGCTGTGCTGTACGGGTCTCAAACTGTGTACAACAGATGGGTGACTAATAGCTGACCCGAAATGAAGTCGGCTTCACCTGCAAAGTCTCTTCCTTAGTCTTGATCTAGGATGCTAAGACGTGGTCCACCAAAAAACAAATAGAAGAGTGTGAAAACTCTTTCGGAAACTGGACTGTCTTGTTGCGATGAACGGAACTTTAATGATGTACCAGAGATATGCGGTTATTTGCTGATTCGCACGGGAGTCATTGTAACTTATTAAGCATCTTCCTGTATTATACTGGATGTGTGTGGTGGTTAAGGAAATTCGTGTGACATGAAAATGACTTTCTTTTCACGGAATAGGCTTGTGTATAGCAAGTGAGGCTCTTTCTGTAAATATCATGATAGATGAGAAATTTGGATAATATTATGGGTCGAAAACCTACTCGACCGTGATCACTGTTTACAAAACGGAGTATTTTTTTACAAGAAAGGTTAAGGATGTCTGTGTCTGTGGTAAATGTATATATGTACGCATGCACGTTCGTGTTTTATTTTCAAGTATAGAGTCTTTGGCAAGAAATGTTCGAATTATTCCTTTGATGCTATCTCATTCTCCCTTGCAGAGGTA